GCAGTCTGTCCTCAATGGGCATCACATCTATCTCATTATAGTTGTTGTTTGCCTCTCCCCAACCCACAGCTTTTTTACTATCATTAACTGATGAAGAATTCTGAATAACTCAAAAGCTCACCTTCTTTGTGACTTGCTAGTAACCCAATAAAGGTATTACTCAACCTCAGAATGTGTTCATATTTAAAATGTGACAAGACTCTTTCCAGTGCAAAAGAAAAAGTCAGGTGGTGAGGAGGGGAATGTGTAAATTCTAAGTGCTGCAGTGTTTCAAGGCCATTTCAGTCTTCTGTCTATATAGTAACTACTAACCACATCTTTCCACCCAGAATAGACTTTGGTCTAGATGGGCAGGGTATAAATAAACAAACAAACAAACAAATAAACCTTATTTCCTCAACAAAACAGTGAAAGCTAGACAACAGTTTCTCCAGATTCCTCTTGTGGTGCTTAAGAGCAATGGGCAGCTTTGTTCTCGAACCTTTGGAGCACCAGGTGGAAGCCTCACTAGGTTTTAAAAAATACAGATAGAAATTCATCCAAGAGGTTTACAGACTTCTCTCTCCCTCTCTCTCCCTTCCTCTCTCTCTCTCTCACACACGCACATAATACCTATAAAATATTAGTAGTGATAAACTGCATGTATTAAGCAGGAGAATTTGATCGTAAGTTGTGGTGGTGCCATTTCTAAGGTTGTTAAGCCATTGGCTTAATCTACAGTAGAGGGAAAACCTTCCTGGATGATGTCACAGCTGCTTCTGAGGGGCATGACTGCCCACCATTCTTCTTCTTTCTCATAGGTGCTAGAGAGCTTGCATAGAGCCTTTCTTTAGGCCAATCCTAAAGGCATGATGTAACCATTGTCCTATCTGAACTCTGTAACCTATTTGTATACTGTCCACTATCTGTGAGCTTGTAATGTTAATAAAAGCACAGTCCTCCTGGGGGCAGGGAAGAATTCATTGGGAACCCATTCAGTGTTATTCTGCCTCTTGTACTAGCCGCCCACCAGGAGCACTGCTGGCAAACATCCCTGTATGTGTGGCTGACTTCTTTAACCTCTATTTCTAAGAGACTCTGTTATCCTAATTATCTGGTGATCACCACAAAGCCCATCAGCCAGCTAAGTTCGTGACTCACAACACTAAGTAAAGCAGTTGATGGAGCAGGAGGGCCCTGACTTTGATTCTCAAAGAAGAGGAGCAACTGAGAAAAGAAGGTAGGAAAAACTATTATCAAGGTGGCTCCAGGGGTTCAGGGAGGGCAACAGGTCAAGTGAGGCAACACAAGAAAAGCTAATGACTCCCTTGCCTACTGGGAGAGGAACTCGGCTCCACAATTATGGGGGATGCAATCAATATGATATGAAACTCATTTCTTAGTCTCAAGATACAAGCATTATGGCACTTTGGGAAAAGCACCAGGAGTTAGGGGAGAATGGAGAAGCAGCATTTGATGCTTAAAAGCATGTGGACCAGGGAGGATTTTCCTGGGACTCAATTGCTTGGTGAGGAAGACAACAAGTACTGTGCCTTCATGTCCATTATGGTTGCAGAAACAAGTTGCATAGCAGCTGAGGTTTGCTGCGGCCAGGAGCAGAAGCCTGTATTTATGAAGTGTGTATTTATTGTGGTGGGGTGTGGAGAGGCAGGCAGATATTTGCTGAATGGCCTCCATTCTGCTCATTCCCTTTGCAACTCAGCTGTTTTATGTCTATAACTACTTCTCTCCACACACAGCTTCAAAGCTAGACAACTAGTCTATTCACTCACATACATTCTTTCATTTGTTTTTTGCCATCCCCTGCCCTCGATCTGCCTCATGCAAGCACACACTCAGTTCAGCAGAAAGAGGACAAAGGTGGAGCCTCAGTCTTTTGCCTTTGGCAAGAAGGCAGGCAGGTCTGGGCTTGCTAAGGATCACTTAGACTGAAGTAAATCAGTGCTCCATTTGTCCTAATGGGCCAGCATCTACCGTATTTGCCGGCGTACAAGATGACTTTTTGGCCCTGAAAAACACACATCCAAGTGGGGGGGTCGTCTTGTACGCTGGGTGCATGTCCAGCAAACCCTCCCTCTCTCCCAGCGAAGTCACTTACCTGGTAGTAAGACCGAGCAGAGCCCCGCTCCTAGCCTGGGAACAGCCTGACTCTAGCGCCAAACAGCTGACTGTTGGGAACAGCAGAGAGGCGGCAGCCATTTTGAGATGCAACCACATGGCTGCTGCCTGTCAAAATGGCTGCCGCCTCGCTGCTGTTCCTTCTTCCAGCAAACCCTGGCTCTCTTGGAAAAGGAACCAAAAGGGGCAAAAGGAAGTCTCCCCATGATGCAGCCAAAGCAGAATCACGCATGCGGAAGAGGGGGTAGTCTTATACAGCAAGTATATAACAAACTCTACATTCTGAGTGGGAATGTTGGGGGGTCGTCTTATACGCCCAATCGCCTTATACACCGGCAAATACGGTACTGCAAGGAAAGATAGGTGGCGTTCCACTCTCTTACTCAGCCTGAAGCTGAACTAAGAGCAAGTTAACTGAGTTAACCATGTATCAACTGATTATTTTACTTGGCTGCTACTAGTATATTCTGTAAACTGTTATTTTAAAAGTCAGTGTTTGTTATTAATCAGTTAATTCTTTAATAATAATTTGTCAATCAACATAACATAAACTTATCACATATTACAGCTACACAACATTGTTCAGAAAATGGCATGTTTTTGACATAACACACACACACACACTATACTGTCTCTTTTTCTCTTTCTGGCCTCCTTGTGTCTCCTTCTCTCTCTGAAAAATTTCTGTCTCAGCTGGATATTTTAATAATTCTGTAACTAGACTGAAATAATTTATTTATGACACATAACATGCTGCAAATGAAAGGTAAGATGCCTATATTTTGAGGAAGCATTTGATAACTTCCTGGCAGCAGGGTGATCAAAACCAAAGTGTCCTTGTTCTAACAAAATTCTTTTTCCTGCTCCTAAAACCCACTGTGAAAATTATCAAAACAAAACCAGACAAATACTTAGCCATGTTTGCTTCTCTAATCTCAAATATCTGGCTTTTGCAGGAAAGAATGGATGGATGGTTAATTCTGTGAATGCTGCTGCTGGAGTAATATGAATTCTAAAATCCCTTGGTGCAACATTACATAGAGAGAGCATAACTGCAAGCCTGTCTATCTCCAAAGGAGCTAACAAACTAAAATGTCTGTTTTTCTAATCTAATTTGACACCAGGCAGTTCCACTGCACCTTGAAAAACTTGGCAATCCAGTGAGTGAGCAAGCAAGCAAACAACCACAGCATATTTTTAAAGGAAAAAACAACAGAACCACTGGTTTTTCCTCAATGAACATGGTTTGCATATTTACTCTGTCTGCTCTTTGTCATTAAATAGCAGGAATCTACTCAAAGCAACGCCTAAAATGTTGGTACAGGATAATCAAGTCATGTTCCAGAAACTACTTTCACCAAATCTGAATCTAGCCCTAAGTAACTGCAGTTGACTCCTTCCACTCAGAGAAAATTTAGTGTGACAGAAGAAACTCACACTTAAGAAGAGCCTAGCCATAGATAATGAGAAGATTTTTTGCATAGGTGATCTTTCCAGTAAATGATGGCCACTGTAGAGATTTGGCCACCTTCCACTATGGTATCTTTATCATACCCAAAACTTTTTGGCAGAGACAGCTATCTCATACTGCCTTATGACAATCACATACACATCCCAACATGTATAAATATAAATGCAAATACTTGTAGAGCATATACATTCTCAAGTTATACTGTCTTGATATTGCTAGCTATTCTGACTCATCACAAGGGAAACAGAACAAAAGGAACTGGTACATCCATGGAAGTCCAGATTATAAATGACAAAATCTCAGGATGTAGAAATTAGAACTGAGTTCTTTATTCTGTATTCTTTAAATGGGTAACTAAGAAGCTCTGACTCTACACGTTTCGGTGAAGCCTTTTCCAGGAGCTAAGCATAATACAAAACCACATGTTAGATATCAAATCATTCACATTTTCTTTTGAATATATATGTATGCTTAGCTCCTGGAGAAGGCTTCGCCGAAACGCAAATATATATACATCTGACTTGAGACTCTCAATTTTACATAAATACATACATTTATACTGAGCACATTATGCATGATAAAATATATTAGACAGAATATAAAACACATACTGAGCTTCTTTATACTCTCTGCACCTTTCTTTGGTCTATACCAGCTCCAAAATTAATTGAAAATGTTTGAAAGTGCAGGCACTGAGAAAGGAGGCATTTGTACACAGCTGGGTTCCCGAAAAGGTTCCAGCTGGGTTCCCATTTTCACAGGGAAGCCACTGAAATCCACAAACATCACAGCTTGAAGCAAAAAGGAGAAAGCCTAAAACTCAACACAGCCTGGCTCCCAGCACTGAAAAATACAGCCTGCAAAAAGGTCAGTGAACTCTATCCAGCCACAAGGACTGGTGATCACTGCACACAAAAGTCTAGCTAACAACACCTATCAATCACAGTGACAGATCATCTCTCCCCTTATCACAACAATATACCCATAACAAAAAACCCCCTGATCACCATAATCACCCAATCTCCTGAAAAGGACAAAAAGCTGATCCCACAGCTACAAATACTCAACTATAGCACACACTACATCATAACACAGACAGAGTTATTACTCCTGTCCTCTGAAGATACTAGCCACAGAGACTGGCAAAATACTAGGAAGAAAAACCTCCAGAACACAGCCAAACAGTCCGAAAAACCTACAACAACCATCGGCTCCTGGCCATGAAAGTCTTCCAGAATACAAGACTAATACATAATCAAGATTATTATGACAGTTTTAATCTGTAGCACAAAGATACTCGTAGACATACGACTATCTGGAAACATCCTAGACATTCTGACGTTCCACTGTGGAAGCAAAAGCTTCTAACAGTTTGACAACTCTTGTCAACCCATTTTGTCTCTTGGCTTACCTGTAGATTCTGTACCTGGTGGTGAAACCTTGTCGGTATCGCTCCTTGAAGTCAACATACTCTGGGGCATGGTGAAATGGTCCTCGATCAGTAAGCAGCCAGTCCAATGGTACTTGGCTGGAAGAGGATGTGGAGGCATGCTGCCCGTATGAAGCAGCAACAGCAGCAGCCAGCCCCCAACACCCCAGAGTCAGCAGGACCAATACCAATGACACCCATGGGACCACCAGCTGGAGCCCGTTAAACCAAGTGTCACGCGGCCACCTCATGCTTCTCCTGCTCAGGTAGCTTCTTCATCCTCTCCCCGCTCCTTCCCTCTTGGCACTCTTCTAGGATTTCCTGCAGAGGAAAAGCACAATGATAAGAATATGAATAATGTGTTATACGGGCAACATGCTGAAAAATACCAGGAGTAGGGGACTTGGATTCACCAAAGTGAGTTCTTACAATGAACAAGTGTGTCTGAACATGGACCCCAATCATACACAATCCAAATTACTTTGATGTCTGAAACAGAAAATCCAATGGCAGTAAACATCTAATACATTAAATAACTGATAATTTGCCACTTTTTAATTGCACCCCCAAATCTGCCACCTCAAGAAGATCCCTGTCTTATTTTGCTGAATGGTAGGAATGGCACAAAGGTCAGTTCCCATGCTGACACATTGGCAGTCTTATGCCCTGATGACAAGTCACCAGATTGTGAAATGTTAGCCAGCTCTGAAGCATACCTCTACATCGCTGGCTGCTGTCATTGTCTCCACACTAAGGAAACTGCATTCTTTTTCATTTTTTATTATTTTGGTTATTTGTTTCCTTACTTTCTTGAAACACCTGTGGTAAAAAGCTGGAAAAATGATAGTAAAACTGCAGCTTGCAACTGGAATTCATGGGCTGGAGTTTTTAGCTCCAGATGTAAATAGACAAAAGTTTGGCTTATAACTAAAGTTCAATGTAGGTATTAATCTGCCTTATATCAAGCTAGCCCACCGTTAATCTAGCATAGCATTATCTATTCCAGTGGTTCTTAACGTGGGCGATAATGCCCCCCAGGGGGCATTTTCATTTTTTTTAGTTCCTGCATTTGTTTTTATCCCCTTTTCATATTTCTTTTTGCGTCTTAAAATTCACTTGCAACTAAATCATTAAATGTTATTTTTTGGGGGGCATTTCATTTTCTTGGAATTTAATTTTGTTTTCAGGGGTCATTGGATTTAAGTGTCTTAAATAAATAAATGAATGAATGAATGAATGAATGAATGAATGAATGAATGAATGAATGAATGAATGAATAAATAAATAAATAAATAAATAAATAAATAAATAAATAAAAAAGATATCACCACAGGGAGGGGGGGTGATGATAACTTCCTCAATGGCTCAAGGGGGCGTTTCTTTCAAAAAGGTTAAGAACCACTGATCTATTCTAACTAATAGTAGTCCTTTAATGCCTGAGGATGTCTTTCCCATGGAGATCCTTTTAAATGAGGACCAGACACGAATTATTATTTTGTGCTTAGGCGCAAAAAGCACTCCATAAGTAAAATAAAAACACTGAGATTGCCAAAACAATAAATTATAACTATAAAACTAGACCTTGGATCAGCACCAGCTTTGGCATGGATGTAACAGAGGACCTGCTCTTGATCTGTGCCAAATTTGGGGGTGCCTGGGCAAAGGGGTGAGCTTTTTTTAAAAAAAAAACCTCCTGTTTTACCCCATGCACAAGTAAGTGATTTCCAGCTATAGCTGATAGAAAAGAGATAAAATATGTGGATAAGACAAAATTTGCATACCTGAAAAAACCCACTGTTTCATGTCCTTTTTCCCCCTTCAGGATGATTGTGCCATTCATGGTTCTACATTAAACCATTTAATTAGTGCTTTTTAACTCCTAAAACTTCTGAAATTGTTCCTTTTTAAATAACTTCTGGGAATTCCAAAGGAACTACAGTGGTGCCTCGTTAACGGGTGCTCTGTTTAGCGACAAAACTGCATAGCGATTAACTTTTTGCGATCGCAAAAGCAATTGCATTGCGATGTTTCCTATGAGTTTTTATCGCTTTGTGATGATCGGTTTGCTGTTTCGCTTACCGATCATTGCAAAGCAATGATTTTTTAACAGCTGATCGGCGGTTCCAAAATGGCCGCCTGCTGTGTTTTTGTGCGGATTCCTCGCTTTAGAGGCAGCGAAAATGGCCGCCGTATGGAGGATCTTCACTTTAAGGTGAGTTTTTTGCCCATAGGAACGCATTAAACAGGTTTTAATGCGTTTCTATGGGCTTTTTAAAATTGCATGGTGACTAAATCGCTTTGCAGCAATTTTTGCTGCACGGATTAACATTGCTATGCGAAGCACCACTGTATGTGAATAGCATAGCATTCTAGCCAATCAGAATGTGTCTGGAGTAGCTAGGCAGCTAATACAGGGTTGTCAGACCTGTTCAGTGTGAAAGAAAGGATTTAACTCCTTCCTAACCACAAAATTCTAGCTCCTGCCTGTGAAAATATTTAAAAAGACATGACTCCAGACACATTCAGATTGGTCCGAATACTATGCTATGTAAATAGCTCAGCTGTTTAGAATTGTGCCAAGTTTTATATATATAAAACTTGTAAGACTTTGTAAGGACTAATGGAAAACTTTAATTTAAAGCCATGAATGACTCAGTCATTCTGAACTCAAAAATAGCAAAAAGAGGCTTTTTTAAGTATGCAGTTTTTGATTGTTTGCATTTGTATGAGGTAGAAACAGGGTTACTTTTTTTAAATCACAACTTGCAAACCCTATGCCCAAATGTTCCTAAATTTAGCACGGAGCAAGAGCAGATATTCTGCTACACCCATGTCCCATTTGCTGCTGATCTGAGGTCCAGTTTAATATATTTTTTCCTATGTGGCATCTATATTTTTTTATTTGGCTAATGAAATACTTTTCTGCACCTAAGTGCATAATAAATGGCTGCATGGTTGTCCAGCCATCCTCACAGTTTAGGTTGACAGCTATCAAGGGCAGACGGGGAGTGGCCTGACCTGCTCTTATGCTGGTAATGCCAGATTGCTGCAGAGATTTTGGCAGATGATGCTTTCAGAGGGTTGGGGGGAAGGAGTAAGAATAGTCCAGATTTTTAACTCTTTCTAATTCACACAGAAGCATTCTCACATACAGAAATTTCATGAAGGCAGCAGCACAATTGTCATAAGCCCTTGTGTAAATGCTCCCCCTCACACACAAAAAGGAAGAGACTAGAATCAAAAGCCCACTCCTATGTATTGGGACAGACCTCTGCATGCATAGCACAAGGTTAGACATATATATCCTTTTGTTTTTTGGAAATGTTGATTTTGAAGATTGTAAAGCATGACACTCTGAAATATAATTGGATAGATGAAAATGCAGGAGAAAGAATCTAAAAAATTACTATAAATTTAGGATGTTAGATATTGAACTAAATATTTGAAATACGGATATGAAATATAATATGTATAGACACATACGGATATAGTATGGTTCAGTATGAAAGTAGGGGATAAGGTCTATTGTATTCAGAATCATATAATGGATAAATTTGAAGGTGAAATACCTCCCGCCTACATGTTTTGTTTGTTTTATATGTCTTTTGATTGTTTCATATGTTTTTGCTTGTTTTGTATGTATGGCTGTGTTATAGAAATAAAAAAAGTATAGTTTCCATATCCCACAAGGTGCTAATCCCCCTCTATTCAGCACTGGTTAGGCCTCACCTTGAGTCTTGGGTCCAGTTCTGGACACCACACTTCAAGAAGGATGCTAGCAAATTGGAACAAGTTCAGAGGAGGGCGACAAGGATGATCAGGGGGCTGAAAACCAAGCCTTACCAGGAAACACAGAAATAACTGGGCATATTAAGCCTTGAGAAAAGAAGACTGAGGAGTGAGATGATTGCACTTTTCAAATACTTGAAAGGCTGTCATACAGCAGAGGGGCAATATCTCTTCTCGATCATCCCAGAGTGCAGGATGGGCTCAAGTTAAAGGAAGCCAGATTTCGGTTGAACATCAGGAAAAATGTCTTAACTGTTAAAGCAGTACAACAGTGGAACCAGTTTACCTCGGGAGTAGGCGAGTGGTTCAACACTGGAGGCATTCAAGAAAAACTTAATCATATGCTTTGATTGTGTTCCTGCACTGAGCACGGGGTTGGACTCTGACGAGTTTCCACCCATTAATTCATCTCCTACCCTCAGGCACAATGGAGAATATCTCCTATCCTCAGGCACAATGGAGAATATATCGATGCCCTCTTCCCTGGGGCAAGCCTTCAGATATTGAAAGACTGCTATCATGTCTCTCCTCAGTCTTCTCTTTGTTCAGCTAAATATACCTAGTTCTTTCAGTTGTTCTTTGTAGGATTTAGCCTCCAGTTCCCTTATCATCTTTGTTGCTATTCTCTGCATCCCTTCCAGGGCCTCAGCATATTTTTTGTATTGTGGTGACCAGAACTGGACACAGCACTCCAAGCACAGCCTCAGCAGCGTGGTATAGAGTGGTACTATCACTTCCAATGTTCTTGATGATACCCCTTTCTGATGCAGCCTAAGACTGTGTTGGCTTTCTTGGCAGCTGCAGCACACTGATGACGCCTCAGGCAGTGGTCCACCAGGACACCTAAATCCCTCTCACAGGTACTACTGTTGAGTCAGGTACCACCTATACTGTACCTGTTCATCTGGCTTCTCCTGCGTGAGTGCAGGACCTTAATTTTTCCTGCTACTGAACTGCATCTTATTGGATAGGGCCCAATGTTCAAGTCTGTCTAGATCCTTCTGAATGTGGAATCTATCTTCCAAAGTATTAGCAATTCCCCTCAGCTTTGTGTCATCAGCAAATTTGATGAGTGCTCCTTCAATCCCCTCATCCAGGTCATTTATGAAGATGTTGAAGAGCACTGGGCCCAAGACGGAACTTTGAGGTTGGCACACACAGATGTGGTTCCATTGAGGACCACATGTTGGTCAGCCAGCTGCAAGTCCATCTGGTAGCTGCACTGCCTATTCCACTCTGTTCTATCTTACGTAGAAGTAGGTTGTGGTCTACCTTAGCAAATACCTTACTGAAGTCTAAGTATACTATAGCTACTGTGTTTCCTTAGGCCACTAATTTAGTCACTTTATCAAAGAAGGCAATAAGGTTTGTTTGGCATGACCTGTTCTTAACCCATGATGACTTCTAGTAATCACCTTGTTATTATATAGGTGCTCACAAATCTGCTGCTTAATTATTTTTTCCAGGATTTTCCCAGGTATTGATGTCAAGCTGATTCGTTTGTAGTTTCCTGGATACACTTTTTCCCTTTT